GAGTGTTCTAGGAGCGTTTGTTGCCCTCCGGGAATCTTCTTTTAGAATTTCTTGTCAGTACTGTAACTGAAAAAGAGTATGTGCTCCTATGAAAGGCATGTGCTCAGTGAACATTTGCAAGTCGTCTGTATGGCCTTAAGAGACTAGTCCTAACTCAATTGCCGCATCTCAGTTGTAGGAAAGGCTGCTGTTATGGGCGGGATTAGATCGTCTACATCACACACCGGATGCGGCCGTTCTGACCACTGCGCCATTTATGACCTAATACACCCTCATAATAATTTTTTGTGTTTATAGAGCCGACCTTTGAATCTGAGCAAGATGCACTGCTGCTGAACAGTTCCAAACCATTCTCTCCTTCTCTTTTCGGAGCACCTTCCGCCCTTCAATCAAACGGTAAGGGGATACCCTCGCCACTTGGTCGGAGGACGGAATGTACTCCGAAGGAACACCCACAGCTCAATCTCAAATACAAGGTTTGCCTGTCTCCAAAATGAATCTGTTGACCATTGTACGATTGCCATGAGCGTGAATTGCATTAATTTCCGCTTGTAGAGGCACAGCTGCTCATAGAAGCTATTAATATTAACCAGTGCCCAGATATTCTTTGATCTAGCAAGGTTTCTCTGTCTCCACAATCCCTTAGAATGCTACAGTACCTCCTGTACCTGCCGCTTGTCTGTTTCCTTGTTCTAAAGGCACTCACTTTTCACTCAGGAGGTAGAGGCTCGAAGTTTTCGACAGGTTCATAGGGTTGTCGTCACATCGCTCCATTATGCCGTTTAACACTAGCTGCTAGCTCTTGTGGCTATGTGTATGACCCTCAGACTGTGCAGCAACGGAATGATCAGGCTCACCACCAGTAAGGGAGGGCGTATCGACCGTAAACGCTCGTGAAAAGTGGCGAGCTGGAAAATGGAGATCATTGGGGCGGGACCGCGAACTTTCAGAAACTGTGCTGAGAGTGAACGCCAAGGGGGATCTGCAACGGCGTTACCGCATGGGTCGGAAAAGGATCCACCGGTAGCCCAGATTATGAGCTAATGAACTGGCGAAGCCACCTTGAGGGAGGTACGTAGAGCTCCTAAGCAAATTAGGAGCTCTCATATCTTTTATGGCACTTCATTAGCCACGTGGCCACGTGAACAATAAAAGCTTTTCGGTTATAAACTTTGCTATGACGCAAGCAAGCAGAAGGCTTAGCAGAGTCATTATGGGTAAGGCGTATTCTGGGGTTTGCTTTGTGGATAAAATTAAATATACATGAATCACATGAAGTGAATCTCAGTCAAAATCCTTTCAGCCACAGAGTTCAGGTAGTGAATAAAGGATAAAGGATAAAGTCTCTGGCGTCAATCAATCCCGTCTGAGGGATGCGCCCCCGCACTCGACTTCCATTCAGAATCGCAGTGGCGTAATGAGTGCGTATGTGGCCTTTACAATGACTAGCGGTGGCCAGCCGATGTACAAGTCAGTGCTTTTATCCTCCCAGACAAGTCTGGTACCAATTCACCGACCCCGGAGGGATGGAAGGCTTGGTTGGCCTAGGCGGGCATCGATCCGGGATTCGAACCCCTGACCGTGTGTGTGATATAGTGCGCTACTTGCCACTACACCACCTCCGCCTTTCAGGTAGAGAATAGAAAAATCTATTCTATATCCACTATTTCCTTCGAATGGTTAGGTTTTCATAGCCTACTTTGAGCTGTGCTTATTTATTACCCTAAAAAGGAAATAGTTTCCTTCACAGTGGCACCTTGTGAAAAGGTTTTCCCAATAGGGAATATGATTGCAGTAAGGGCAAGAAAGACCAAGTATATGTGCTCAACAGTTAACAAGCAGGACAAACCAGTGCTGACGGAAGAATTTCTTTGGGACTGATTACTTTGTAAGCCAGAAGGTTTCGAGACAAGAGGAAGGGGGAATTGAACGAAATTTCTTTGCTGTCCACCGACTTTCAGTGCTTTTCCGTGTTTGTCATTTGAAACCTCTTGTTTAATGGAGATTTGTTCTTTTTCTTGCTATGCACCTTAGAAACGGACTTTCTTAACTAAAGTCGCGTTCAGAGTTTGCAATTTTTTCTCGCATGATAGCGACAATGAGTATCGATCGATTCAATTTTTTTAACATGGCTTCAATGACTGACTCTAAAATAAATAATCCTTCAATGACTCTCAATCCATTCAGAAATCATCTGGAATCAATCGGTATTCCTATAATTTCACCCATCAGTCGATACCCTTCTTTCTTTCTATCACGAGTCGTTTTGAACTTATTATCATCTGTTATATGTTTATGGCACGTTTTTGGGAGCTTAATATCTGAATCTGACTACTTGGTCTGATAAGCTCTGGTTTGTTGGAATACCCTGACAATGTACTCTGGTCATCGTTCACAAAAGACCATATGTCCTCTTCGAATCACCCTATTGATTCAGGCTACCTTTTGAGCGTAGCAGTAGCTAAACCCAACTGAATGCTCTAGCATGGATTATCTCAGCTTTAAAGTTTAGTAGTGACTTGAATAGGATAACCTAGTAGGTAAGAAGGCTCATTTTTAAACTTTTTCTTCTTCATCATTCTCATCTTCGCTCCCCACTTGGGAATGACGACGCTGCTCTTACAATCTACCCAGGCAGATGGTTTGAACCTACCTAGAAAGTTATCGTTCCCATTCAGATGAGCTTGAGTAGGACACAACCTGAAGTGTCCCAGAAGCAAGAGGCACTGTTTCGTGTCGGTGTAGTCTGCATTATCGACTTCGAAAGTGACAAACATGTGACCCATTCAGTGATCCGATCAGTGCGATCGTGTAGGAAGATTTATTGGAGTATGTACCGCACCTAAATATTGTTCGAACCAAATTTTCATAAGAATTCTTCATCCTGTAAGTCAAATCATCAGAGATCGTTTTGGTGCTCCAGCATTTTGTGTATTTGATAAGTCCATCCGATAAGCTTTTGAGGTTTAGCACGAACAGTGAGTCTTCATGGCTTCGCAGAATCTGTTTTGCTTGTCCCGAATAAATGTACATGCCACAAAACCTTTTATTTCCCAAGACATACGTGGTTTTTGAACCATAAAGTAGACTTCAAAGGCCATTACCGACTCCTATTGTCTTGTCCTTGACAGATGCTACCGATGGAAAGGATCATCCCCAAGTATCATCCAAGTTTACTCACTTTTTTTAAAGATTATCGCAGTTGGTGTATAATATCTTTCATCGATAGCATCAATTCCGTACGAATCAAATTTCCTCCCGTTGCCCCGCCCCACCTCCACCCCTCCCATTACTTCATTCAACAACTAGTTGTACTGAATACTTCTTTTCAACCCTTTTCAACGAGGTCAAACTTGATTACAAAGACGTCAATCGCTTGACATTTGTTCGTAGTACTAGTAATGTTTGATAGTATGTTTGCGTCACACAGAAAAGGGGTGCCGACGTTCTTGTCAGTCCCACCACAAGGTTGGCGAGTTGCGGACAAAGTTCCAGGCCTCGAGGGGGCTCGAACCCGTTGTTGCGTTTATACTACGGGTCCCGTACAAGGTCCCCTTTGTCCTCGCCCCTCGCCCTTCAATTGGCTTATAATCTCATATCAGCGTTTTTTTTTNTTTTTTTTTCAACTCGTACTAATTCCATTTCTACACAATACGTAGTTTTGGTAGAGTAAAATTTGTTTTACTCAGGTAATCCTTTTGTCAACAGATTCATGCTTTTCTTTGAAATCGATTTACAAAAGGCGTTTGTTTAGAGTAGCCGAGAACTCCTAGAAATTCAAGAACCGTTCATATTTCTTCGATCTCACCTTCTCAAGACTTCGTTTTATTTCAATATTTGTTTATTTATTTATGTGTACCGTTTCACGCGTCTTAACGCTAAGGTATAACCATAACGAACGGTTTTTACGGAAACCAAGACGACGGCAGCTCGATTATCTTTAAAGAATCATCTCTAAACACCTATAACTGTTTTTCCTGATTCAGGAAAATACGACAATAAATATAAATAAATAATATGCTGTAGTGCCATTTTTATCTAATATTCTTGTTGGGTATTTAAAGGAGAGGTTTATTACACGCAGTAGTACCACAATGCCTTCCATCGCTAGAGTTTTTCTGGGGCTCTATATCACACCTTTCACTATTTGTTTTCTAGGGAGTTCCTTTCAACAAAGAGAGACAAAAAACGAAGTCTGGAATCACGATTCCATGTAATAGTGAAGTGAGGATAAGATTTTTTGGCGTTAATTACCGCTTTTCTAAAATGCACCCCGCATTTGACTTCCATTCAGAATTGTAGTGGCGTATTGAATGCGTATGTGGCCTATACAATGACTTGCAGTGGCTATCCGGTGTACCATTCAATGCTTTTATCCTCCTAGACGAGTCCGGTACCACTTAGCCGACCCCAGAAGGATGGAAGGTTCATTTGGCTTGGGCTAGTACCGAACCGGCTTTGTTCCCGGGCCTATGTGACAAGCTCTCAAGTGCGCCTCTAGCCACTACACCACCTTCGCCCGAGAGATAAAGTATAGGTCACAAAACATAGAAATTAAGAAGAATGACCCAAGTGTTCTAGGAATGACGTGGACGTGCACATCCTGATCGATTTTGTACTTGCACCCGTAGAAAGAATTCTATTTGTCTGGGAGAGCATCAAGGCTGTGAATCTTTCTAAGTAGGTTCACTATAAAAAAGCTAATTCCATTAGAGTATCACCCAATTGTGTAAATAATTCCCAAAGAACACGAAAGGGCAAATCTGTGTCTCGGCGGCTTGTTTGACTACATATAGCCTCTAGCCATTCCATACGTGAATTCATTTTCATTCATGTATTCCATTTTCTTCCTTTTTCCCATTCTTTCTGTTTCCTCCTCTACTCAATTACCGTATTGCTGCTTTACTCAGTTACCGTATTCTGTTGTCGCTCTTGTGAGTTCGCGTCTATTCATGTCTAAATCTGTACCCCGTATTACTGTAACTATTACGGTATTTCAGATGATGTCCGAAGTGTCATCCCATTGTCTGACGGAACGTCAGATGCAATTGGCTGTGAACGATATTGAGCGATTGTTCATTGGGAAAGTCGTACCAGTATTGATCGTTTTTGGAATTAGTGGCAATATACTTAATCTTACCGTATTGCTTACACCAGCTATGAGAACCAGGTACGTAATTACAAAATGCACGCAATTTAAGTTTAATTTAGTATTTGATAGATTGGTTGATTGATAGGGGTGGAAGGTTGGCGGATTGAACGCATTTGACCTGACTGATTCTGGGCGATATATCAAGGCTTCCGGGAAATGAGAGGAATTTTTGATAAATTGGTTTGGTTTCCTCTGTAGTATGTCATTCATAACTTTCCCAAGGTTGCTGAGTTGTAAGCAAAACCTTGGCTTCGACCAGGTTTCGAACAAGTGGTATTGTCTACTCCTATGATTCGAAGACTGCGCGTGGCCAAAGTTTTGCCCGGAGATCAGGGTCTTCTAAGACAAATGTTCCAGGACAAAAAACCTTTAGTCGCTCACTAGCCTTTTACGCTTGTCGCGAGATCCGCTTGTTTTTATTAGCAGTCGCCTTTTCCTCCGATAGAGGGCATCTTATGTTGTTCTCCGGCTTCAGAGAGGACCTGTCCCTTCGAGCCGAATTTCATCGTTATCTTGACATCGGAAAGGTCCTCCCTTCATCTTCTCTTCGAAAAAGGGGGACGTGATGGGTCTTTGTGGTTGCCATCCCTGAGCTTTCTTGTCGGTCTGTGATTCTTCAATGGCAGCTTTGAACGAGTCGAGTCGTAATTCTACCTTCTTGCCGAACCCTACCCCAGCGCTCTGAACTTTTCAAGGCTGCTATGACAGCAACTAGCTATTAATTCATATTTGAATTTTGGGAAAGCTTTTTGGTAGCCTCCTATTCGACTTTACTGAACCTTTCCGCTGAAGTGCCACACAAACGACTTTCGCTGCTATTCTTTAACGTATTCATTTATTATGCATCAGAATTCGGTCACGCTTTCAGGTTTTGAGAAAGAAGAATGTTCGATCCACTGGCAATTTATTTGTCAATTATTCCGCTGTTTATCATTCCTTTGCACACTTTTTTTTGATAGGGTCGATTTTCGTTCGACGAATAGGGCCAATATAATTGGTGCGTCATACTTGTATTGCTTGAACACAGGTATCAGTTGCCGAACAAAAAGAAAACGGTTAGACGTTGTCTGATATCAAAAGTCTTCTGAAGGGAGGACCAAGAAAAAAGAGGAAAGATTGCTCTAATATGAGAATCGCAAGTGAGATAAAGAATGTCACGGAAGGTTCACAGAATGGAAATTAGAGTACAACCCTTCGACGTTCCCAGGATTCCGGGAAGACGATCGTTTTTCGGGGTTTGGCGTGCGGTAGGGAAGGGGTCTGAAGATAAGGGGTACTTTTCTCCAACTCCACGAGGGTTGCAGTTGCGAGCATTCTCTGGGTCTAATGAAGAGCTTCTTCGTTTTTTTAGTTTCCTGTGGATTGCATGGTGGGGTAGATGGTCTTGAAGGTCCGGAATAACATGTGAACTATTTCATCGATTAGTTGATGGTAGTGTTCTGAAGATATTTAAGAAGATCCGACGATGGCACTTCTGCTTGGATGATGGTCCACTGTCAATCTGTATTCATTGATCCTTTCCTTTCTGATGCATCGAAGCTTAGGCGAGGTAGCGGTGTATGTTGTCGGATCTCCGGAAATCTTCAAAAAAGGCCCAAAAATATGTACTGGTGGACGAAGTTAACCCCCAGTCTGTATCTTCAAATTTTTAGATCTTTTATCATCATTAAGACGAGCTCTTACGTATCAATACCAGCTTTTACCCTACTGATATCGATCAAACCTCCTATATTTTCATTTCCGACCATCTTAGTATTCCTGGGACAATAAGGTCTTCGTTTCGATCACCGGCTGAAAAGTTGCTATGCCGATCAAGTGCGAATTTAAACCTTAATCGTTATTAGATGGGAACCGAATACATGGCATACACCAAGAACGGATGAGTGCTCGATTTCTTTCAATCTACTGTTTTTCGAAGCGATTTTGTCCAGAAGTTCATATTCACCTGTATCATCTGTACTTCCGTTAATCGTCGATTGCCTCGGCGGGCGCCAGTAACGTCTCCATTCGTCCCTGTCGCGAGCCAGAGTAGTCCAGTGAATCGTACTCGCTCGAGGGACACAGGGCAAAACATTCCTTTCGTTTAGAGCTTTCGTGAAAAAGTTTGTCCATATCGTTGACGGCCATCGTGGTGTTCGCTTGACGTTCCAAGGGATCCATTCCGTAACCGCCCTGGTCCAACGGTCATCATTATATCGCATAATGTGTCCGGCATCCCTGATCTTCGTTCGTCGACGGAGCTCGGGACTCCGGATTCCCTTCTGCACTTGCGTGTACAAGGAAATTCCGAGCATCGTCCTTTCCACAGGACCGCAGTATCGAAAAGGTGAGCGCGGAGCCGGAGCGGATACCAGTAGCTTTTTCCGCGCCGGATTTGTCCACTCAACAAACATCATATATAATGTAAAGGATGTAAATTGAGAACTGGAATCGCTTGAGCAACCAAAAAAAGCAGCCACCCTTTCGTCCATATATTCAGCCATTTCCGGTGATGACTGCGATGGCCGTCTTGAGTAATGTGATCCCATTCTTCGTAACTGAAAGAATGCCAATCATCAATGTCACCATCGACAAGTAGGAATTGGCTGTTCAACGTCTATTTTGGAAGGAAATGCCAATCTGAAGGGCTGACATAGGACACTCTTTTCAACAACGACTTCTATTATGCGATCGGATTACACATTGGTCTAGCAATTACTGAGTTTTGAACTCCAAAGCCATGTGACGGAATATGTTCAGTCTGAAAGGTTTGCAAGGGAGACCAATGAGAGCTAGTTGGAATGATTTTTATCGCTGGGAATTATCATTTATCAACGTAGAGGTTGGAATAAATTATCTCGTTAAACCGAGACTGCTGTCACCTGCTCGAAATTCCAAAGTTCGTGCTCGTGACGAGTTGCAAAACAGATCTATATAGAGGTGGTGTAGTACTCATAGGGACTCGAATATTCAGGGTCTTGTAGTACTTCGTAAGGATGACGACTGTTTAAGTGTTTGGGCATTGCTAGATGAAGACAGCACTCATTGAAATGACTTTACAATTATGCATGGAAATCAGGACCATGATCTAACCTATTAAGGTTCGAATACTACGCATAGGTAGTTAATTATCGACCAGAAAGTGTACAAATAAAGATAGTAGTGAAGTGGCAAGGGTCGTACCCTATTGCAATGGTTCGCCGATTGAATCCCGTACCGATATACGTCTAGGCCATGTGTTCTATTTTACTACGGAGTCAGTTGGTTCGTTCCAAAACTTGGGAGGATAAAAGCTCTGATTTGTACATCGAAGCCATACTCGCCTTCAATACTTCGATACTCAGTGGACGTCAAATTTGGGATGCATCAAAGAAACGGGACTAACGGGACTCATGTTTTCACTTAAACCTAACTCGCTTAATTCCATAGGCTGCTTTCATAGTCCACGTTTTGGCGAGCGACCGGTTGCGCCGCGATCGGTCCCTCGCCAAATCGTGGACTATGAGAGCAGCCATAGGGTTGTTTGTTTGACTGGCATCTTTGGCGGTTGACATTCCAAAATAGATTGCCTCATGCTGGCAGAAATAAGCTCTGTCAGAAGCAAGACGTTGAATATGCTGCTAAATGTTAGCAGGTTGTTATGTAAGCTGTAATTAATTGACACGAAAGCAAAGGGGCCCAGACATTTCATTACTTCCCCTTTTAGTCTTCAGGGCACTCAGCTATCATCAGCAGGGTTTATAGTAATTTACAGTGCGATTTTCAGATCGAATGTGCTATTGTCATGCCTTGCTGTGGCAGACATTGTATTTTTGGTGTTTATGTTTCCACATTCCCTGGCTCATTACAAGATTTTTGCATTCAATTACTGGTTTCGTAGAATCTATTTGGGCTACAAAATGCATCTCCTAGCTATGCTCAATTGGGCATCCGCAGCGGCGATATGGTAAGTTACGTTTATACTCAGCTTCCTTACATACAAGAGGTCAAAGGGTCTCTAAAAGAGGGAGGAGTCTAGCTATAAGCATATATCTCCTTTCATTTTCAGGCTAATTCTGGTGATCTGCCTTGAACGGCTTATGGGCATTATGAATCCACTATCAGCTCGACGTCATAAACGTACATCCAAAACGAGCGTCGTTGTTACCGTAATCGTGGTCTCGACGGGATTTCTCACTTCGTACTACCATTTTAGCTACTATTGTGCTTATAAGCGTTTTTGTAATGGATCACAATTCCATGCAATGTGTATTCGAAGCGATTCCGAGAGGTTCGTTGGGTTCAACGTTTATCTGAGAGCCGTTGGTCAATTTGAGCCCTGAGTCAGCATTTCGCTTCCTGCTCTATGTTCCATTAGTTAAAGGCACCGTTTACGATAGATTCAGGGTACCCTTTTTCGACGGGAATTCGTAGAACTACTCTAGAATAAAGCGATAACAATGACAAAAGCGCAAAAAGCATTGAACAAAAAGAAATAGAAAGGATCAAAAAAGAGCTGGAGAGGGGGGTTGGACGAGTTTTACATTGGAAGAACGGCGGTTAAGGGAGTGTTCGGGCGAGTGCACGAAGGCGACGCAATGTCTGCAATAGCATACAACACACCAAAGCAGACAACTCGCTCCAATGCGAAAGTGATGAACGNNNACGAGGGGCAGAGGCCTCCCGTCCCCCACTGTTCCTGCCCTTATTGTGCCCTATCCAGACCGTTTTCCGACCTCATTCCTGCACAAATGGTATCAGAGGGGGCGTCGAATTCAAACCATGCGCAAATCTCCGAAACCATTTTTTCGTGAACAGTGCCTTTAAGAGGGACAATTGTGATGATAACATGGGGACGGCAAAAGATGGATTCCCCTTGAGTCTGTTCGCACGCTCCCTTCAATCCGATCGATTTCGGTAGCCTACTGTCTTCTGGTCTGAAGCTCAAAGGTATAGCCCAGAGGGATCAGAAAGGTTTAGCCAAGTAACGGGAAACGGTCTGACACTGTAGAACTGTTTTTTTTTTTTGCAAAGCCTGGCCTTACTTCTTTCAAGAGGGAAAGGGGTTTTGCCCTTCAAAATTTTGAAAACCACCTGTGGATATTGGTGAAACTCGGGCTGCCCGCTGGTGGTGTCTACAGCCATTTCATGGGTGATAGCTGTATGAACTGGGTTCTTAGGTCCTTATCACTTTCCATGATAGCAACAATTTTCCGATTTTCCAAAGTCAACTGGCGGTCTCAACTGAGTTGCCAGAGTTCCCTTGCCCATCGAGCTTCTACCCTTTTTTTTTGTTTTGAGTGCTTTTTTTATTTTTATTATTTTTAGTATTTTCTTACCCAATCCTGATCATTTTTCCAGATGGTTCCGCAATCAAACAAATCCAAATTCCGCATTCGTAAAGGCTGTCGCCCATTGGGGACCACATGTGAATGCTGTGTGTGTCATTGTGGTGCCAATACTTCTCGTATTCATTTCCAATGCCATGCTAATTTATACGATTAGACAAAGGTAGGCATCGATTACATCATTGGGGTCGTTTTGCCCGGCTCCCCCCATCCCGCCGCCTATACGACGCGGTCTGTGTGCTGGACAACTCGTCCGGGTGACCCAAACTCCTGACTATGACAATAGATAGACTACAGGAGGTCCGCAATTCGGCGTCTAACAGTAGTGACGCCATCGATCGGGCGTATATCAACCGAATGGGCGGTGGGTTAGCCCGTTAGCATGGTTAGGAGGATGAATCGTCTGGACGAGTTGTCCGGCTCACAAACTGCGTCGAATATGCGGCACCATGCGTGGGACCGCGCCAAACGACCGCCTCCCTATCATTGAGTTTGGTATAGTGCAGGAAGTCCAGCGCATGGACAGAGACGCAGAGGCATCACTGGCGAGTTGTCGCGTTGTAGCTGGCCTATCGCTTGACCGACTCACATTTGGATAAGCATTCCCAGGTTGGCTGTTAGCAGGCTGATGGATATGGGATGAGACCTCTAGTGTGATGCTTCTCCGTCCAAGTCTGCTAGCCATCTCGTAGGACTCCTGCACTGTTGCTCGATTATGACGTGAATTGTGACCCTTTCCCACAAGTGTAACCTTTCAGGCAGAAGCAGTTTAACCCTCAGATGTCTTACAAGTCGGAATCACAAATGTCTGGATCCCAGTCACGGACTGAACAGAGAGTGACCACCACTGTCTGTGCGATAGTTACCTGTTTCACTATTACTCAGGTTGGAAGCGTTGATAGAGGTCTGGGTGCGTTTATTGTATGTTAAATCACCTCTTTAGGGTCCATCAGCCTTCATCACTATTATGGCGGAGTATTACCCGATCCACCATGAATTTATGATCGCCGTAGTGAGTGAGACGTTTTTTTCTACGCCTGCCGCCTAATGCCTTGAAATCATCTCGAGCATTCAGACTGCCGTAATTACAACAATGGTGGTACTGGGTAAAGCTCTAAACTTCGTGTTGTTCTGCCTTTCATCAGCGAACTTCCGAAGTCGTCTACTGCAGCATACCAAACGTGGCTTACTGAAATCCGCAAGACATAGGTAAGTGGCCTACAAAGCCTATTTCAGCTAACAAGTTGTTTAGAAGTGGACTTCTCTATTTTGAAGTTATAGGCATGACAAGCTTCGAGCCAAGCTGCTCAGTGCTTCATGCAGAACATTGCTTCAGATTGTCTTTTTTTTGTCCTCATCAGCACCGCTGAAGCGCAATGTACGCTCAAGCTCTTTCAGTTCGCTCTTGATTGTTTGAGTTTTGTGTCAGGAAACTGTGAACATACGACTCTCCCATATCTTTCGCTTCACGCAAGAATTTCCCACAAGCTTAGCGGTAGTCGAGAGTGTAGTGGTAGTCCCGACCCACTCACATTGCGCGAGTTTGGCTAATGCCTCGCTGCCCGCGAAGCATGCCGGACGAGACGGTCAATCTGGATGATTGATTGAATAGCCACTCTTACGCCATTTTGAATTTCCAAGTTCTTTCATTATCTAATTAATTTTGTCGGCTGTACTGTTCAAGGATTGAGTCATGAAGAAGTAGTTATGTTTCATTCACGACGCCTTTTTGAATGAGCTCAAATTTTCAAACTTGAACAGAATCTCAGTGTGATGCAGTTATCAGAACAACAAGTCGCTTTGGGATGCATTTCCAGCAGGCACCACATCTCCGGTATAATCGCAATTAATGATGAAAAGACAGAGTTTTTTGGCTTTGTTCAACCCCCTTCTGGCTAGAACCCATACATTCGACTCGCATTTTAGATCGAAGTAGCGTTTTGAATGAGCATGTAGCTTTGACAATGATTCGGAGGACCAAGTCCTCGACTCGATCCCCACACCATTTGCGTGGTATGCACCAATTGACACTACTCACAACCGCCAGCGCTTGTAGACCTTCCAAAAAAGTTTCCGTCGTGATTGTTTGTAGGAAAAAAATATTCATGGCACATTTTTCTGTTCTGACCACAATTTGTCTGTTACTTTTGCCAAAGTGTACACCAAAAGTCGCCCAAATATGCTTGTCCTCAGCTTAAGAGTCATTTTCAGGAGCAAAACCAGTGTGGCTCAGATTTTGAAAGAGAAAAAAGCGTTTTTTTCACCCGAAGCGCATAAATCAAACATTTTTTGAGCATCAGCAACACCTTTCTCTGATCTAATTTGTTATTCAAACACTAGAAAGGGAATTCCTGTCAGCGCTTGCTCAAAACATAGTGATACTTCAAGATACCAATTGTGCCATGGTGCGAGAAATCGGATTATCTTGCTATCCCTGTTTGAGCAGCTAAAATAGCTTGTTCATTGAATGAACGTAGTACCACTATCAGCTTTTACTGTATAGCTGTACCTCAAGGATAGAATATCGTTGTCTGTGGTGTGCAAGTAGGCGGGAGCACGGTCTTAAGCAGTGAGTTTATCAATTATGGGTATTATTGGTAAACTTTGTCGAGAAACTGCATGAACGTACGCAGGAATGTTTTGATTTGCTTTCTTGGTCCATTGTGCTTGTGTCCAAAAGTGAAACGCTATCTATGGCATAGCGGTACACTCCAGTTGAAATCAATTTTAGAACTCAATCGATAGCAGTTCGCCTTCCGCAGAATGGACGTAAATGCGATATGACGACATTACTACAAGCGACACCTTGACGATTACGGTAATTAGAGTAAAATTTGAGTGGATAACTTTAGCTTTATCAGCATGGAATGCACTTCTGCATGAATAACTTTGGCATGCTTTATGAGCTCCTGAGAGATTATTCAGGGAGCACATGTCTGTTTGGGAATTAACTGTACCCTACAAAAATGTATTCATGGGTATTCAATAATTTATAGGAATGGGAACGCATGAGAATGAAAAAGAGGTGTTAACGAGATTGATACCTCATGACCAAGGCCTACATCTTCTTCTCATGGAAGCTGTGGAGGTGCTGAGCGCGTAGATGGGCTCCCTATGTAGGTCGAAGGAGTTCCGGGACTATGCTTAGGGAACCCAGCGATTTTAGCTGGTTGCCTTATCGTGGACAATGTAGTATTATTACCGGTAGGGTGTCTTAATCAGGCATTTGCAGTGCTGTGAGTCGTTCGGGACTCCCGCGCTATCCGGGCTGCTAAAGAAATTTCTACCATTCGTTCTGTCGGCGCCTTGAACCACATAGGAGGACGAAATTATGTAGGCTTACCCACTGCCATCATTCTCAAGTTGGACGAGAGAAGACGCTTCCAATGGGAAGCCGTGATGGCTTTAATGGCCTCGCCGTCACCCTTGACTTGTCTTTAGCTCTCAACATTTGGGAGTACATGCGTAGGTAGTGGCTACACTGGGAGAGATGACTCAGTGGTGGTGGGACTCAGAGGGGTAGGGTTAGTAGGGTAGGCATTCCCAATCCATGAAGCGAGAATTTCCTTGAAAATCACCTAATTGATGTCATTCGTGGGTCGGCTCGAGTTGAATCACTGAAGAACCCAGAATTACAAACTTTCTATTGGAAGACATGAAATTCAAAAAATATCAGTTAGTACTGACGTGCATGACATGAAGATCCTTCCTTTTTGATTCCTACTACTTACACTTTACCTTTCTTTACGATGCAAGCATGCAAGCATGCATAGAGTACGTAAGGAGCGACTATGAGCAATTCTTGTTCGCACTGATTGCTGCACATAACACTTTCTGCACTCTATCTGTAATTACTTTCGGGTGATTTTTTGTCGAAATAAAATGTTCTTTTTGAACAACCCATGAGCAACTGAACTGATTTTTTCCCCATTATCGTCCGTCGTTTCTTCAATACTTCCCCCTCTATGCGCACCTTTCCACACCCTAGTCCTCATGGAATGTACTTTTTTGCACCAATGCGCTTTCATCTGCACAACTTTCCTACAGTTCCTGCCTTCATCTCAGCACTAATAAAGCTTTTTGCTAATGATTCCATATCACCAAAGCACCTTTTTAGCTTTTTACATTTAATATCATAGAATGATGGCATTGGTAGATTGGACTGAACTGCAGAAGCAAGATTGTTTACGATGAAACAACTGGCGTGGTTCAGGTAACTCTAAAAGCGTCGCGTGTGTCACACTGATACGGGAGGGATAGTTATTGTAAAGGGATACATTCCACAACAACGAGTGTAGGTGGGAGCTCAATAATGAAGATATACGCCTGTCCAGTGAACGTGAGGCAAAAAACTGAGAACAACCCCTAAAAACCGCCGAGTGAGACCCTTGGATCACGAATCATAGTGTTTTCTAGATGTGCTCTGGTGGTAAGCCGACAGGGTGAATTCCAAGCCGATTGCACCTTTGTTGTTGGCTACAACGGGTCCACATATATTTAAAGATCTGAGTCGACGTCTTCTAGTGCGACGCAGACGCCAGAATAGTACTATAAATAGTCTTGTTGCCAACGCAGGAGTCAGGACGCCGTTACTATGAATGCGGCCATCGGTCCACTTAGATCCCGAATGCCACTTTTGATGAGTGATCATTGCAACCTAATAGCAAGTATATTGTCGGAAATCGCCTTTGTTCTCTTGTCCGGGATTTCGGAAATCAATTTCTACAAAATGAAGTGAAGGAGATAGATGCCATACATGGGAAAGAGGGTGATGAAGTAGTTGATGAGACGATATGTAGGATTTGATCGTTTGCAACTTTGGAAAGCAGCTTCGAAATCAGCCTCCGAAAATACTTGTAACGGTATAAGTCTCATTCCATGGGCCCTTCCACTTGGGATTCTTCTCTTGTTAGTTGCGAAACAGAGTTGGGAAAAGCTTTCCGTGTTGAGCTCCTCCCTCCAAACAATTCAATTAATGAAGTTGTAGGAAGCTGATTCAGATAATGTCTCTTTTTCCAGCAACTCGTACAACCCCTGGGACTAACTGTATGGACTGGGCTTCATTCGCATATTTCCAGCAATTTTTTAGATCCACAGTTGGACCTCTGACTACACCCACCTCCCTATCTTTGTTACCTTACGTATTACCTACATGCCTGTTCACCTGCATGTCACAAATTTACCTCCCTTTTACTCAGCATAGGGAAGCAGTAACTCTTTTCTCGTGTGTTCAGTCCAATTTATCGATTCGTTAGTTCTAGAGAAATCACTAACTGAGTGAAATTATTTGGCAGTCATTTTCCACAAACGGGGCTTCGATGAGTGGAAAGTGACTGGAGTGCCATTATTATTATAATTATAATACAATACTATAACTATGCTGGACGTTTTCAGGTCAATCTCTACCAATACGGGAACGACTTCTGTTGACAGTGCATCGACATTGAAACATGGATCTCATCCGTCACGTGCTCCATTTGTAAAAGCTCGTACTGTTAGTCAAGGTTTAGT